ACCCGCCAAGCCAGTTCCCATTAAAAGTTTTTAAGCAGGGGAATAGCAATTAAGGGAAAGAAAGCCCCAAAAAGAAGCCTATGAAAGAATCTGAGAAAGAGAGCCTACAGAGAGATTAGAAAATTCAGGACACAATAGTGTTGTAAAGACAAGAGAGAACGCAAGTGGGAATAGATAACTGTGTTAAACAGTACATAGGGGCCGCCTCCGCAGCTCAATAGGCTAATCCTCCACCTGCGGCACTGGCACCTGGGATTCTAGTCCTGGTCGGGGCGCCGGATTCTGTCCCAGTTGCTCGTCTTCCAGTCCAGCTCTCTGCTGTGGGCCAGGAGGGCAGTGGAGGATGGCCCAAGTCCTTGGGCCCTGCACCCGCACGGGAGACCAGGAGAAGCACCTGGCTCCTGGCTTCAGATCAGCGTCGTGCGCTGGCCGCAGCGCGCTGGCGGCAGCAGCCATTGTGGGGTGAACCAACGGAAAAAGGAAGCCCTTTCTCTCTGTCTCTCTCTCTCACTGTCCACTCTGCCTGTAAAAAAAAAAAAAAAAAAAAAAAAAGGCAAAAAACCAGTACATAGGGAGAAAAACAAGCCCTGAAAAGCATTCAGTGAGGGCTGACATGTGGGATATTTAAGGCCTCTGAATGCACAGCCTCTAGATTATGCCACTTGTCTTCCAGAAACAAACACACTTAGCTTCTCTGCTGCATGCAAAAACAACTTCCCTTTGAGTCCTGAGCAAAAAATTTGCAAGGGCTTCCCTTTGCCTATGGAATTGAAGCACAAATTCCTCAGCCCGCTGCTCTCAGCTGTTCACAGCACGGCCCTAAAACAACCTTCTATCCTCTCTTTCCCTACTGCACCTCTCAAGATGACCAGTCTCCCTTTTCAACTAAACTTGCTGCTCTCCATCACAGTATGCATTTTCTCAATGTGCTGCTTTTATTTGTATCATAGTTATAGCCCTCAATGTGTTCTGCCTGTTATCATTTGTAACTTCGTGTTATTTCTTTTTCTAAAGCTGGGGCATCCACTTCGGTGAACAAGGATATATTCGGATGGCAAGAAACAGTAAAAATCATTGTGGGATTGCTAATTATCCCTCTTACCCAGAAATCTAGAGAATCTCTCCGTGTTAATGACAAATCAAGAATGATGAAGCACTTCTCTTCATTTTACCTGCTGCATCCAGAAAAAATGAGTGTGTCATGATCAATGAATATATTAACCAGAATACAGCTTGACTTTTCACTTTCTAAACTTAGCAGATCTCAGAAAGAAGTTTGCTAAGTAATTAATAAAGTACTGCAGATAAAACTATATGAGAATTGGTCAACCTAAGACAATCTGTTGTATTTGTTCTTGTTTTATTTTCACTCTTTAAGTCTCCTAACAGCCTTTTGTAACTTGATGGTCTAGAAGTACTTAATAAATTTGTCATTTCAAATTTCTTCCATTGCTATGCTTTTCTTATTCTCAGGTAACTGTTACAATCTATCATGAGAATGTTAATTGTGGTATGCTGGTGATGGCAACTTTAATGGAAGAAAATAATAGTTTATAAATGTCCTGAGGGCTGATACAGTATCTTTACACATAAAACGAGTGAATTTTTTTAAGGGAAAAGGTTTATTGGGGAAAACCCAGCAGACCAGAGGGAAGGGGTGAAGAAGGAAAAAGAGAGTAAGAGAGAGAGAGAGGAGAGAAGAGAAGAGGAAGCTAGAGAGGAGAGGAGAGAGAGAGAGCGAGAGAGAGAGGAGAGGAGCGGAGAGAGAGGAGCAAGAGAGAAAGAGGCTAGAGAAGAGAGCAGAAAGAGAGCAAAGAGCACAGAGAGAAAGACAGAGAGAGAGAGAGAGAGACAAGTGTTCAGGAGCAGGTCCTTTTAAAACTTTGCCTGGTTTTGGATTGGCCCAACTCCAGTTGTTGCGGCCATTTGGGAAGTGAACTAGAAGATGGAAAATCTCTGTCTCTGCCTCTCTCTCTCTAACTCTGCCTTTCAAATAAATAAATAAATAAATAATTTTTTTGGTAAAAGGACCGTCTGTTTTTAAACACTTTGGAAGAATTGTAATGATCAACAATTTAATATACTACCTAGTTAAAATTATTTTTACCTAGTTATCAACAAGCTGACCAAAACTTTTTTGGAAGGAATAATTAAAATAATCTGAATAAAACAACACAAGTGAATTTATTTTCAAAATATTTAACTACATGTTTTTATGAAAAATTATTTGAGAGAGAAAGAGAAGGGTGGTGTGTGTGTGCGCACATGCGTGTGTGAGAATGCTCCCATCCACTGGTTCACTCCTCAAATGTCTGCGAAGGCCTGGGGCAAGCCAGGCCCAACGTCAGGAGCTGGGAACTCAAGCCAGGTCTCCCACAAAGGTGACAGGAACCCCTGTCACCATCACTGCACTACCTCCCAGGGTTTGCATTAGCAGAAAGCTATGGCGTCAGGAGCTGGGGGTAAGTATCAAATCTGGGCACAACAATATGGTTTGTGGGGTATTAATATGGTTTGTGATCAAACACCTGCCTCCCACTACTGCTACTCATATTTCTATCTAATTCAGGTGGATCTTCCTCACAACTTCTCTCCATTAGTACATGGATCTGAACAAGCAGCAGGAACTTTGAACTTTATAATTTCATACCTACGACATGAAAATTGCCTGGGATGATATTAAAATGCCTAAACTGATCTTAAACTAATTTCACTATCTCTGGCTCCTTCTCCATAAGTAGCACATTCTAAAGAATAAGAATGGTTAAATGTTAAAAAAAAAAAAATAAAGATGGTCATAGGTTCAAAATGGTTAAATGTAAAAAAAGGTGGCCCCTATGACCTGCAATGCCAGCATCTTATATGGGTGCCTGTTTGTGTCCTTGCTGCTCCACTTCTGATCCAGTTCCCTGCTAATGGCCTGGGAAAGCAGCGGAAGATGGCCCAAGTGTTGGGGTACCTACCCCCAATGTGGGAGACCCTAATGAAGCTTTTGGCTCCTGTCTCCTGGCTTTAGCTTGGTCCAGTGCTGACCACTGTGACCATCTGGAGAGTGAACCAGTAGATGGAAGATCTCTGTCTCTCCCTCTCTAACTATGATTAAAAAAAAAAAAAAGGACCATAATACAGTAACACAAGACTATCATCAGAAATATAAAGAAATAAAGAAATGCTACGTTAAAAGGTATGAGAGTACTTCAAAAAGTTCATGGAAAATTGAATTAAAAGTTATGTTTATTTTTCTGGGAAAAATTTTGAAATCAATTTATTCTGGTATCTACTTTCATGTTTCTAATATATTTGTATTGCCATTTTTTGTCTTAATGACTTTAGATGACTTCTATTAGACTTCATATGTGGTAGTTGAAGTTTCAGATCTCCTGCACCAACACCACACGTTTCTTCACGCCCATCCTCAAAATACAGTTAGTTAGTGATGGCCAGTGCCACGGCTCAATAGGCTAATCCTCTGCCTGCAGTGCCGGCACCCAGAGTTCTAATCCCAGTCAGGGCGCCGGATTCTGTCCTGGTTGTTCCTCCTCCAGTCCAGCTCTCTGCTGTGGCCCGGGAAGGCAGTGGAGGATGGCCCAAGTGCTTGGGCCCTGCACCCTATGGGAGACCAGGAGAAGCATCTGGCTCCTGGCTTTGGATCAGCGCGGTGTGATGGCCGCAGCGTGCTGCCGGAGTGGCCGTTGCGGGGTGAACCAACGGCAAAGGAAGACCTTTCTCTCTGTCTCTCTGTCTACTCTGCATTTCAAAAAAAAAAAAAAAATACAGTTAGTGATATAGTTAAAGCATTAGTTAATGATTGCATTATTATGATTCTAAATCAAAGCTGAACTTTCTCTTTTTTTGCAGCTGTCAATGGATCAAATAAATTTAATATACAGTACTATATCATAAATTTAACATGTCATTTATTTATTTGAGAGGGAGAGTTACAGACAGTGAGAGGGAGAGACAGAGAAAGGTCTTCCTTCCATTGGTTCACCCCCAAAATGGCCACAAAGGCTGGAGCTGCGCCGATCCAAAGCCAGGAGCCAGGTGCTTCCTCCTGGTCTCCCACATGGGTGCAGGGGCCCAAGAACTTGGGCCATCTTCTGCTGCTTTCCCAGGCCACAGCAGACAGCTGGATTGGAAGAGGGGCAGCCGGGACTAAAACCAGCACCCACATGGGATGTCAGCGCCACAGGTGGAGGATTAACCTACTGTGCTATGGCGCAGACCCAACATGTCATTTTAAGGTGGTGTAGCAGTCCCTTTGCCAACATTGAAATTTGTTATGATCTGGGGAAACCAACTTTTCCTGGGCCTGTTTTCTCATCTCTAAAATAGGGGTAACATCTGTATCTTCCTTACAAGGTTCTTGGTGGAACAAAAGTAATAAGATATTGAACGTAAAATCCCTTTGTAAACTTGAAATTTGAAAAAAAAAAAGATAAAATAATTATTAAAGATTTCACTATTTTTGATCCTGAAAACAGAGTATTAATCTTCATTCTTCTCCTAATTGAATGACTGACAAACCTTTTCATATCTTTTCATTTCTCCATAATGAAGACTTATCAAGGTTTGTGAATGTTCCAAATATACACACAACTTACTTGAATATATAATAATCTGTAAACTAAGAAGCTTGTACTAATGGAAAATCTCCAACAGCCTACTCAGATTTTATTTTACTTCTACATGAGGCATAAATTACTTTGAAAGTCACGCATTGTCCTCCCAGACATAACACATAAAAATATCTAGGTGAGAGACCACTAGAGCAGCTTGCTTAGTGACAAAGACATAGGAAGCTGGAAGTCGGAATGCATATGTGATATAGCCACAGCAAAATCCTAACAAATAATGTCAGAAAGCAATCAAAATTAATATGACGAAGTAAATGGCGGCAAAACTTCCATCACTGCAGCAACGCTACGTAAAAGAGACGGCGGCCCACGTGCCACTGAACCACACCTCGCCTCTTTTCTGAGGTTCCCGGCAAGCCTTGCGCTTCTTCACGCGGGAAAGGCGACGTCGGCGGCGCGTCGGAAGGCCGCACGAGCGACCGTTGACGGAACGCGCATGCGCGTCAAGCCGAGCCGCGTGCCGCGTCGTGCCTCTCCTCTGGTTGTGGGCGCCGGTTCTTCAGACTTTACGTAATATATAAGGGGTCTTACTGTGTTTTCTTTTTAATCTCTTACTTTTTAAATCACCTTCTGTCCAATGTTTCTTAAGGGCTTAATGATGAATCACTTGGGAAAAAATATGTAACTTCTTATTTTCCAGGAAAGGTTCCTCAGACAGGGTTCCCGCTATTGGCTAGGCCAGGCTGTGTGTGTGTGTGTGTGTGTGTGTGTGTGTGTGTGTGTGTGTGTGTAAAAGAGCCGGGAGGCAGCGGTCAGCGCCCCACCCCACCCCGGAAAAGGCGTGCGGGGCGCCCGAAGGCGCCCTCCGCGCCGCCGACTCCTCGCCGCCGTCGCCACCTCCCTCGAGCCGCGTCCCAGACCCAGGGACCCTGCCCGGGCAGGGCCGCGGAGGAGGCGCGACGCCTGGCGAGAAGAGGGGCGCGGAGGGCCGGGGCTAGGCCAGGCTTTACGGGGCTAAATAAATGAAAACGTTTCCGTTAGATTACTTCTGGGAATCTTCCCGTTTAATTTTCTGACTAGAAAAAGTGAAATTGGGACAAAAACATTGAAAGTTACATTAGCCTGGCTCACTAGGCTAATCCTCCGCCTAGCGGCGCCGGCACACCGGGTTCTAGTCCTGGTCGGGGCGCCAGATTCTGTCCCGGTTGCCCCTCTTCCAGGCCAGCTCTCTGCTGTGGCCAGGGAGTGCAGTGGAGGATGGCCCAAGTGCTTGGGCCCTGCACCCCATGGGAGACCAGGAGAAGCACCTGGCTCCTGGCTCCTGCCATCGGATCAGCGCAACGCGCCGGCCGCAGCGGCCATTGGAGGGTGAACCAACGGCAAAAGGAAGACCTTTCTCTCTCTCTCTCTCTCTCTCTCTCTCTCTCTCTCTCTCTGTCTCTCTCTCTCTGTCTCTCTCTCTCTGTCTCTCACTGTCCAATCTGCCTCTCAAAAAATAAATAAAAAAGAAAGTTACATTAGCCTATGAAGGTTATAATAGAGAAACAGAATCAGGCATAAAAATATATTCTGTTTCTCTTTTATGCCTATTACACTAAGTAGACAGTATTTAGAGCCAGAGCCATGATATAGTTCAGGTAAGGAAGTTACCAGATCCATTTATTTTGAAACTACAATTAAAAAAAAATTTTTTTTAAGGAGTTGGAAGAGTTTGCTGTGAGCAGATTTTTGTTGCTTTATGCCTATGATGCTGTCGTTCTTTGAATACTGTAGAGTGGAGAAAACTAGGAAGGTGGTGTTTTCTTGAAAAGTTCTCCTGAAGAGTTCTTAATAACCCATCTGTGTGAGGCGCGCTAGTCAAAGGCCTTCAAATAGGATGTACAACCATATGGGTCATTATGTTTCTGAAAATTCCATTGGAAGTAAAAAAATGCTCATATTTATTCATCTAAAATTCTTTGTACTACACTAGCACGTTAGAGATTTAAGAAGTTCAGATCTGAAGTTAAAGCTACTGTTTGTGTTGAAGGTTGAATTAAAGAAAATATTTTATCAGAAGATGGCCACTGCACAGTTGCAGAGGACTCCCACGGTATGATTGCCTGTATTTTATTTAATTTAATATTTAGCAGATTTTATGCTTTTCTTGAAGTCTTAATTACTTTTATATCTGAAAGTTAGAATCAAGTGTTTGAGGCTTTAATGACATCAGGAAACTCCATGTTTTGAGAAATAAAAATATTTGCTAAACTTTTGAAATAATGGAGATTTCTACCAGATGTTAAATTGCTGGTTCAAGTTAGTTTACAGTTGGTATTAATGAATGCTATTCTATTGCTTTGATGAATTTACTCATAGCAGACCCCCAGATGATGAATGTCTGTGATTCAGAGACAGAGATAAAATTATTATCTTTGTATAACATCTTGCATTATAGTTAACCTCTTTTGAAGCAACCCGTGAAGTGACAAAAGAGAAAATCAGTGTTATCTATCCATATATTACACATAGACAGTAAATCTGCAAGGGCATTCTTAAGTACTTACACATTATCTTTGGGCTTCACCCTAGAAACAGCTTCACATTTTAGAAGCCATCCTGACTTTCTGGGGGTTTATAACCACCATGCAGAGTTCTTTGGGATAGTACTATGCATACACAAAATTGGATTTGTTTTCTGTCCAAAGGAATTTTATATTTGATAAATATAAGATGTTTTAATTCTTCTTGAATTTTAGAGTGCAGTGATATTTCCTAATAAGATAACAAATGAGCAGCAATCTTTGATGTTAGTGAAGCGGCTCCTAGCAATTTCAATATCCTGCATCACGTACTTGAGAGGAATATTTCCAGAATGTGCTTATGGAACAAGATATCTAGATGGTAATATAATATTTACTTTAAAACTTTAAAACGTTAATTTTATTTTGCCTTGCTCTACAGCTATAAGTTTTGACTTTTAAGATTGTGATTTTTAGTAGCAATTTTTAAGTAAATCATGTACCTGGCAGTTTACTTCCTCAAAGTGTACTATTCAATGATTTTTAATATAGTCACAAAGTGTGCAACCATCATCACAATCAATTTTAGAACAGTTTCATCACTCTACAAAGAAACCCAATATCCATTACAGCCCACTTCCTCCCGAACTTCCCAGTCCTAGGCATTAAACTTTTTATTTCTATGGTTTTACCTTTTCTGGACATTTCGTATATAGGAATCATACAATATGTGGTCTTTTGTGACTGGCTTTTTTTTTTTTTTAAGATTTTATTTATTCTTTTGAGTGGTAGCATTACAGATAGAGATCTTCCATCTGCTGGTTCATTCCCCAAATTTCTGCAACAGCCAATGCTGGGCCAAGCCAAAGTCAAGATCCAGGAGCTTCTTCCAGATCTCTCACACTGTGCAGGGGCCCAACCACTTGGGCCTTCTTCCACTGCATTCCCAGACCATAGACAGAGAGCTGGATCAGAAGAGGAGTAGCAGGGACGCGAACTGGCACCCCTGTGGAATGCCAGTGCTGTTGGCAGAGGCTTAACCTACTATGCCACAGCACCGTCCCCATGGCTTCTTTCAGTTAGTATATAGTATTTTCAAGGTTTCTCCAAGTTGTAGTACAGATTAGTACTTTCTGTTTCATTGCTGACTAATGTTCCATTTTATGTCTGTACCACATTTTAGTTATCCATTTATCTGTTGATGAACATTTAGGTTGTTTCCTCTCTTTGGCTACTATGTATAATGCCACATTTATGAACATTTATCTGTTGATGAACATTTAGGTTGTTTCCTCTCTTTGGCTACTATGTATAATGCCACATTTATGTACAAGGTTTTGTTTGTATTTCTTATTCTGAGAATCAGAAAAGGAGAGATTTAAACAGCCAGCCAACCAGAGTTCCCATCTGCTGGTTTACTGCCCAGATGCCCACAACAGCTGGAGTTGGGCCAGGCAAAGCTAAGAATCAGTCTGGTTCTCCCATGTGAGTTGCTCAGATTCAACTTCTTTCACCATCCCCTGCTGCCTCTCAGAGTTTGCTTTAGCAGGGAGCTGGAATCAGGAGCAGAGCTGGGACTCAAACCCAGGCATTCTGATAAGGATTGTGGGTGGTGTCCCAAATGGCATCTTAATTGCTAAGCTAAATGCCTGCCTCTGAATGTTTTTTCTTTTCTCTCTAAGTATATTGAATACCTTTGAAAGTATTTGCTTGTAAAATTGTCTCTCAGTTTCTCATTTAAGTTTCACCTTATATTACACTTACAATGAAGTAAATAGATAAAAACATCCTGTTCTTTATAACTTTGTACAGTGCTATTATATGTTTTTGTGCTATTTTAAGGAAATAAAAATAATATAGACAGTTTATACTACAATAACAGCTAATTTCCAGAAATAAAATATGTGTATAATATTATGTACAGACGATGTGCTGGGAGAAATGTTAAGTGTTACATGTTGCTTCTTTGAAAAGCTCTTTGTCTTTGATAGCCAGATAATTTCTTGACTTTTTACATTTGTTTTATTGAAATAAAAGTCCATAGCAAACATTCTAAGACTCTTGAATAATGATGGCATGAAAGCATTGTATGCAATTTAAAATTTATTTATTTATATTTATTTGAAAGAGAGACAGAATTAGACAGAGAGGCAGAGACCTCCTGTTTACAGATTCACTCTCCAGATGCCTGCAACAGCTGAAGCTGGGCCAGGCTAAGACAGGAACCAGGAATTCAACCAAGGTCTTACACATGGATGTCAGGAATCCAACTGCTTGAACCCTCACCTGCTGCTTCCCATTGTATGAGCAGAGCAGGGACTTGAACCAAGGCACTCTGATATGGGGTACAGATGTCTCTAGCAGTCTTAACCATTATGCCAAATGCCCACCCTGTATCCAATTTTATATTCTATAATCTTTAAAAATGAAAATTTTTCTACTCATAAACTGACATCTTAATCATTATGAAGCATTTTATAATAAGGGTAAATAACTTATCTTTCCTTAATTAGATTAATAATACCTATGATCTATGCATGGTCATTAATAATGTAACTGTAATACCTGGCTGAGGAAAATAATCTTTCCAAATTTCTAGTTTACTGTTTTTGAGTAACTGTTTATTTCATCATTTTGTGTTTAGATATTTGTGTCAAAATTCTGAGGGAAGATAAAAATTGTCCAGGGTCTTCACAACTAGTGAAGTGGTAAGTAAAAGAATACTTCAAGATAGAAAAAAAATGTATAACCAACTTTTAAAATTTAATTTTTTTTAAGATTTATTTTATTTATTTGAAAGGCAGAGTTAGAGAGAGCAAGAGAGACAGACAGAATTATCTTCCATTCACCAGTTCACTATCTAAATGGCCCCAGTGGCCAAAGCTGGGCCAGGGAAGCCAGAAGCCAAGAACTTCATCCAGGTCTTGCATAAGCATGCAGAGGCTTGGGGAATTGGGCCATCTTCTGTTGCTTTCCCAGGTGCATTAGCAGGGAGCTGGATAGAAAGTGGAGCAGCCAGGACTTGAACCAGCACCCATTTGGGATTCTGGTGTTACAGGCAGTGGCTTAACCCACTGCGCCACAAGGCCAGCCTCTAACCAACTTTTAATGATTCATCTTTTAATGTTGAATACCATTTTTGTAAGTTTGATTTTTTTCATTAAAAGTTGTCCTTTTTTCTGTGTGAACAGGTTTCATTTACCTATTATTACTCCCCATAAATAGCTGTCTAATATTTTATATTTTCTCTTCCATCCCCTATCATTTTATATATTTTTGAAGATTTATTTTTATTTGAAAGAATAATAGAAAGATCTTCCATCTGCTTGCTCACACCCAAATAGCTACAATGGCCAGGGCGGGGCCAGGCCAAAGGCAGGAGCCAGGAACTCCACCCAGGTCTCCCAAATGGGTGGCAGGAACCCACATACTTGGGCCATCTTCCACCATCCTCCCAAGTGCATTGGCAGGGAATTGGAATGGAAGTGGAACAGTGAGAACTCAAACTGATGCTCTGATACGGCCTGCCAGCATTGCAGGCTGTAGCTTACCTTGCTGTGCCACAATGCTGGCCTCATCATTTTATATTTCTACCATATTCTTTTTTGTTTTAATATAGGTAATAAAATGTTTTGTGTTATTTAGCAATGTGACTGGAGATTTATGAAAGGTTTATTTCTGAACATACTATTCTTAAAGAATCCTTGAATTTTTTTTAGGATGCTGGGATGTTATGATGCTTTACAGAAGAAATATGTAAGTTTTTCAATCTCTTTATTCTTTTTTCTATAGTTTCTATTGTACAAGCCTTAAAAGAATTACCATGTAATAAAACATTAATTTAAACTAACTTGGGCAAAGGTCAGTCTGTATTACTGAAAAGTCTGAAAATTTTAAAGCCTAATATTCAACTCATTTAAAGCTAATGAAATTAATACTAAACAGATTTTTCTCAAGCTAGTTTTGGTTAATTAGTACTCATTTGTATTAATAACATGTTAACTTATTAAAAATTAATGAATTTAAAAGTCTTACAAAATAATTCATTCTTGGTTTCACATGCCTTCTACAATTTTTATTGTACAATGTTTATACTAATAATTTTTTTTATTTGAGAGGCAGAGAGAGCTCCTGTCTACTGGTTCACTCCCTAAATGCCTGCATTGGCTGGGGCTGGGTTAGGGCTGGAAATTATAGATGGGAACACAATCTAGGTCTCCCACACAGGTAGCAGGAGTCCAGTTATTTACTCTAGCTATTTTTCTTTCTTTCTTTTTTTTTTTAAATATTTATTTGTTTACTTGAAAGTCACAGTTACACAGAAGGAGAGGCAGAGAGAGAGAGAGAGAGGGAAAGAGAGAGAGAGATCTTTCATCCACTGGTTCACTCCCCAATTGGCCACAATGGCCGTAGCTGCACTGATCCGAAGCCAGGAGCCAGGAGCTTCTTCCGGGTCTCCCATGCAGGTGCAGTGGCCCAAGGAGTTGGGCCACCTTCTACTGCTTTTCCAGGCCATAGTAGAGAGCTGAATGGGAAGTGGAGCGGCTGGGACTCGAACTGGTGCCCATATAGGATGATGGCACTTCAGGAAGCGGCTTTACCTGCTACGCCACAGCGCCAGCCCCCTACTCTAGCTATTACTACTGCCTCCCAGGGTCTGCATTGGCTGAAAGCTGGAGTCAGGACCAGAGTGAGAAGTCAAATGCAGGTATTCTGATGTGGAATGTAGGAGTCTTAGGAAAATAGCACTTAGGCCATTACTGTAGTTCTAGTGAGAAATAACGGTGGCTAAGATCAGGACGGCAGAGGAGGAGATTCAAGTTAGATTTGACAGTAGAACAGTTTGGAATTTGTTCTTAAATTGGTTCTGGAGTGTAAGGAAGAGATCACAATCAAGGATAACTGTTTTTAGCATATCATTTGAGCCAGTGATTTTCTGTTTTTCTGCTATTATGGTCTCCAAAGTCTTTTCCCTTTGTTAAATGCATAGCCTCAAACTCTCTACTTCCTCTGTTTTCAAAATCAGTTCTCATATTGGTAAGTTTTAATGTGCTATTTAATAATATATATTTTCTTTATAACTGGCAGCAATGTCCTATTTGACTAAGTCAGTATAGTAAAGTGCTGGCATGAATTTCAGTCCAGTATGTCAAGTAGAAAGATATTTTGGAAATATATAAGCATATCTAAAGTATTGTTTTATAGGCATGATTTGAAGTCTGTCTTCTGCATTAGTTATTTGTTATTAGAAATATGTGTTGAAATAGGACGAAGAGTTCTTATTATCCATCATGAAAAACTATTTTATAGTATACAAGTAAGAATTTTGTTCTTTGTTGTATTTCAGCTAAGGATGATTGTTCTAGCAGTAAGTATAACTAACTTGCATGTTCTTTTTTTTAAAGACTGTCAAATTCAGTCTTGCTTAATTAAAATGACACTGTTGATTGTCACTCTATTCAAACAGCTGATCATTGGGGGAAAAATAATAAACTAATGTTTTGTGGGTTGTTTTTGTTCTTTGTTTTGCTGAGTTGTTTATAGTTTAGTGTAAACATCCAATTTAATTTTTCTTAACTACTTAGCCTAAAATAATTCAATTGTAAATTATTTTAAAATAGGTTTACACCAATCCAGAAGACCCTCAGGTGAGTGTGCTTTGGTTAGTAAAGAAGCATAAAGCTTTTGATATCAAAAACAACATAGACATATACTAATATTTATGATTTTATCTATGCTTTAATTAGCATACTGTTCATATGTTTTCATGTTTGAATCTCACAAAACTCTTCTGAAGTAAAGCAAGACTTACATCTTGAAACAGATTAATACAACAAGAGAGATTATGTAACTGATACTAGGCAGCAAAGCTTACAAACTGTTAGAAATAATCTAAATCACCCAATTTCTGATTCTTTACAATACTCTTTATCTAGAATTATAAAAGGGCTTGAGTTTAGGGAAAAATGAGAAACTCATCCTTGAACCTTGAATACTCAGTGCAGTTGCATCCACCTGTTCATCTGACAATTATAGGAGATAAGAGAGGATAAGAAAAGAAAGGGAAATTCAGAAACAAGGGAGAAAGATCTATGGAGTGTTTACTCTGTTTAAGTATAAGGCTTTGTTGTTTAAGTATAAGGCTTTGTTGTTTTTCTTTTTTTCATTATCTTATTTATTCATCATAATCATTATGAGGTAACTACCATTATTATCTCCACTTCACAGACTAGGAAATCTAGATACAAGATTTCTTGCCCAAAGTCACAGAGGCACAAGTGACAGAACTAGGATTTGAAACTAGGAAGGACTAGTTCGTGATCTGGGAGACTAATCGTAACACTACAGCTGTTAAAATACAAAGCTTTACTCAGTCATGGAGATGCAGATTTAAATGTATTTAAAACGCGGAAAGAGAAAGAACTAATGCCCATCTATGTAAGCACCGAAATGTAAATAAGACAAAGTATTAAGGTATTTGAGCTTTAGGAAGGCTGGGAATGTGTATTTTCTTTGATACTCAACACTGTACTTAATGTTTAATGTATAATTAATATGTATCATCACAAACTAGATCATTTGGGCAAAGGCTATAAAGTAGTTTATTGCTCAGAAAACTTAGTGATTATTTAGAAAAATATTCATTTTAAAATATGTTCTATAATGCATGTTTATATCAGTAAATAAGCTATCTTATTGATGCATTAAAAGTATTTATTGAGTGTTTACTGTGTCAGGCACTTTAAGTACTCTGTATAAATTATCCATCATATTTGATAAATATTCACAGCCACTAATGAGATAGGTACTGTCTTTAACTTTCTTTTTTTAAGATTTATTTATTTACTTATTTGAAAGAATAACAGGGAGAGAGGGAGCTGGTTTACTCCCCAAATGGCCGCAATGTGCAGGGCTGGGCCCAGCAGAAGCCAGGAGCCAGGAGCTTCTTCCAGGTGTCCCACTTGAGTACAGGGACCTAAACACTTGGGCCATTCCCTGCTGCTTTCCCAGGCACATTAGCAGGGAGCTGGATCAGAAGTGGAGCAGCTGGGCCTCAAACTGTTAGCCATATAGGATGCCAGCACTGCAGGCAGTGACTTAACCTGCTACACTGGCCCTCTTCAACTTTTTTAACTGAGGAAAATGAGACTTAGAAGGCTTAAATGGCTTATCTGGTTACAATATAGCAAAAATGTAAGCCCTATGCTTCTATTTTCTGTTGCCATAATTAAATACTAAAGCTGGGTATTTCTAAAGAATAAAAGTTTGGCCGGCGCCGCGGCTCACTAGGCTAATCCTCCGCCTTGCAGCGCCGGCACACCGGGTTCTAGTCCCGGTCGGGGCACCAGATTCTGTCCCGGTTGCCCCTCTTCCAGGCCAGCTCTCTGCTGTGGCCAGGGAGTGCAGTGGAGGATGGCCAAGTCCTTGGGCCCTGCACCCCATGGGAGACCAGGATAAGTACCTGGCTCCTGCCATCGGATCAGTGCAGCGGCGGCCATTGGAGGATGAACCAACGGCAAAGGAAGACCTTTCTCTCTGTCTCTCTCTCTCACTGTCCACTCTGCCTGTCAAAAAAAAAAAAAAAAAAAAGAGAATAAAAGCTTATTCATGTCATGGTTCCAGAGGCTGGGTAGTTCAAGATTGAGGGACTGCACTTGATAAGGGTCATTTTGCTGGTGAAGACTATGTGAAGTCCTTAATCAGTGCAGGGCATAATACAGTAACGGGTGCATACAAGAGAAGAGCTAAACTGAGTTTTATAGAAGACCCACTTTTTTTTTTTTTTTTTTAAGATTTATTTTTATTTGAAAATCAGAATTGCCCAGAGAAAGAAGGAGAGGCAGAGAGAGAAAGAGAGGTCTTCCATCTGCTGGTTCACTCCCCAACTGACCAGAGCTGTGCCAATCCAAAGCCAGGAGCCAGAAGCTTCTTCTAGGTCTCCCACACAGGTGCAGGGGCCCAAGGACTTGGGCCATCTTGTACTGCTTTCCCAGACCATAGCAGGGAGCTGGATCAGAAGTGTAGCAGCCAGGACTCAAACCGGTGCCCATATGGGATGCCAGCACCACAGGCTGGGGCTTTAACCCACTGTGCCACAGGACCAGCCCCCACACCCTTCATTTCCATTTGACTTCTTTAGAATGGCCTTTTCTATTTATATTCTTTTTTTTTTTTTTTTTTTTTTTTTTTTTTTTTTGACAGGCAGAGTGGACAGTGAGAGAGAGAGACAGAGAGAAAGGTCTTCCTTTGCCGTTGGTTCACCCTCCAATGGCCGCCGCGGCCGGCGCGCTGCGGCCGGCGCACCGCGCTGATCCGATGGCAGGAGCCAGGAGCCAGGTGCTTTTTCCTGGTCTCCCATGGGGTGCAGGGCCCAAGCACCTGGGCCATCCTCCACTGCACTTCCCTGGCCACAGCAGAGGGCTGGCCTGGAAGAGGGGCAACCGGGACAGAATCCGGCGCCCCGACCGGGACTAGAACCCGGTGTGCCGGCGCCGCTAGGCGGAGGATTAGCCTATTGAGCCGCGGCGCCGGCCTTCTATTTATATTTCTAATGTTCTGATCATAATGACTTATTTAATCCTTAGAAAGATTTGGGGTCCCTCTTCAGTTTTTTTCTTCTGACCTCTTAACATAGCCACCCTTAGTGCTCTGTTTGTGACATTGTAGACTTTGTGTATCTTGCTTGTCCAAATTCTTTCAGCCTCTACCTGTTAACCAGTTCCAAATCTGCTTCCATGTTTGCAGGTATTTATCATAGTAACAGCCCTACATCTTGTTACCAGATTTCTTTGTTAGTCCATTTTATGCTGCTATAATAATTCCAGGGACTGGGTAATTTTTAAAGGGAGAGATTGACTTCTGATTAGGGCCTTCTTACTGTGTTCCGCCTAATAGTGAAAGGGGGAAGGTCAAGAGAGCACCAGAAATGGGAGGGTTAGAAAGGAAAGGGGCTGAGCTCATCCTTTTATCAGGATCCCATTTCTGCAATAAATAAACTACTTCTATGGTAATTAACCAATTTCCATAATAACAGGATTAATCCATTCAAAACAGCAGTGTCTTTGTGACACAGTCACTTTTTGAAGTCCTACTTCTCAGCTCTTGCTCTGGGAATTAAGTTTCTAACACATGAACTTTTGAGGACACATTCAAATCATAGCACTTAGCTACTCTGGTGAGTAGCTGTGAGTACTCTGTGCTTCCCTTACCTACTTATTAAGGAGTTCTTTATCTGGTATACATAACATATTGCAATGAGTGTAAGAATAAATTTCTCTCCATGGCTGGAGCCATAATTTCCAAACCATGGGAATTAACTAAAAGGGCTTGAAAGTATCCATGTACCATTCGGCACATGCTCCCTTGGACTTACCCCTAATGATCAGGCTAGAAACATGCCATGGGACTCCAAATCCGATTAAGTCAGCAGGTACTAATGCTATCTTACTAGTTGAAGTGATCAGTTTAAGTTAATGATTGATCATAAAGATAGGATTAAGTGTCAAAGGGATCACATAAATAAGACCAGTGTCCACTAATAATAAATGATAGAATTAAAAAGGAGAGAACGACCCAACATGGGAAGCAGGATACACAGCAGACTCATAGAATGGCAAATGCCCTAACAGCATTCAGGCCTCAGAATCAGCCCTTGGGACGTTCGGATCTGGCTAAAAAGCCCGTGAGAGTTTCTCAGGCATGGAAAGCCAAGACACTGTGGCAAAAAAAATGACCTAAATAAAAGATCTCTGTGAATGAGATCCCAGTGGAAAGAACGGGCCATCAAATAAAGAGGTACCTTTCTCTGAAGGGAGGAGAGAACTTCCACTTTGATTATGGCCTTGTCTAAATAAGGTCAGAGTTTGTGAACTCAAGAGGCTTTCATAGCCTTGGCAGCTCATGACAAGAGCCTCGGGTGATTACTGATGTCATAAATAAGAGTGTCAAATGTTAAATCAACAACAGGAGTCACTGTGTACTTACTCCCCACTTAGGATCTCTGTCCTTAATGTGTTATACTATGAGAATTAACGGTAAAACTTTCAGTACTTTCTACTTTGTGTGTCTGTGTGAGTGTAAATTGTTAAAATCTTTACTTAGTATATAATAAGTTGATCTTCTGTATATAATTAAAAATAAATATTAATGAAGAATGGGATGGGAGAGGGAGTAAGAGATGGGATGGTTTGCAGGTGGAGGGTGGTTATGGGGGAAAAACTGCTATAATCTAAAAGTTGTACTTTCAAAATTTATATTTATTAAATAAAAGTTTTCTAAAAAAAATCCATGTACCAATATGGATTAGCATGAGAGAAAAAAATTATGGGCACATATGAAGAGTTATACAAAAGCAATACCTAATTATTTTTCAGCCAGTACTATATATCAGATATATAACTGCACTGTTTTCTATTTAAGGCAATTTCAGAATGTTACCAATTTAAATTCAAGTACACCAGTAATGGACCAATCATGGACTTCTTAAGGTATTATTCTCTTTGTGTTACAGATTAGCATTTATTCATTAATGCTATATAGCAAAACTTCAGGATTAATTCAAAAATCCTGAAATATTCCAAATTAGCCATAAAGATATAGCTATATAAAATGGAGTGGTAGCTTGGAGAAGTTGCAAGCCAGAATTTTGTGGCTAATTATGTACCATTTGACTTATGGAAACCTAATTTTAATGATTAGAAATATAATTTAAATCCATTTGTTTCCTTTAGATATCTTATAAAATTCATATTAATCTTATTTATGTAAGATTAGGTTTTGCTTTAGAATAGTAATTAAAAATTTCATAATAATGACATTAAAACACAATGCATATAAAAAGAATAGTAATCAAATACTTGAAAAATGAAGTTATGATATTAAAATCCACAGTTTTCAGGAAGGATATTAATGTGTTATTCTCTTCTATTGAAAGCCAAAACAATAAATCTAGCACATCACCTGCTGATACCAAGAAAGCAAGTATTCTCCTCATTCGGAAGATTTATATTCTAATGCAAAATCTTGGACCTTTACCTAATGATGTTTGTTTGACCATGAAACTCTTTTACTATGATGAAGGTACATCCTGTTTCAGTTGATATCTTTATTTTTTTTTTAAAGATTTTATTTATTAGGGCTGATGCTGTGGCATAGTGAGTAAAGCCACCCCTTGCAGTGCCAGCATCCCATATGAGCACCGGTTTGAGTCCCAGCTGCTCCACTTCCGATCCAGCTCTCTGCTATATCCTGGGAAAGCAATGGAAGATGGCCCAAATGCTCAGGCCCCTGCACCCATGTAGGAGACCCCAAGAAGCTCCTGGCTCCTGGCTTCGAATTGACCCAGCTCTGACCATTGCAGCCATTTGGGGAGTGAACCAGGGGATGAAAGACCTCTCTGACTCTCTCTGCCCTCTCTGTAACTCTGCCTTTCAGATAAATAAATAAATATTTTTTAAAAAGACTTTATTTATTTGAAAGGCAGAATTACAGACAAAGAGAGAGAGGTCTTGGGGCCAGCGCTGTGGTGTGGGTAAAGCTGCTGCCTGTAGTGCTGGCATTCCATGTGGGCACCAGTTTGAGTCCCAGCTGCTCCACTTCGATCCAGCTCTCTGCTATGGCCTGGGAAAGCAGTAGAGGATGATCCAAGTCCTTGGGCCCTTGTACTTGCATGGGAGACCTGAAGAAGCTCCAGGCTCCTGGCTTCAGATCAGTGCAGCTCCGGCTGTTGCAGCCAATTGGGAGTAAACCAGCAGATGGAACACTTTTCTCTCTCTCCTTGCCTCTCCTCCTCTCTCTGTGTAACTCTTTCAAATAAATAAATAAATCTTTAAAAAAAATAAAAAAGAAGAAGAGAGGTCTTTCCTCCACTGGTTCATTCCCAAAATGGCTGCAGCAGCCATTAGCTTCTTCCAGGTCTCCCATGTGTGTGCAGGGATTCCCAAGCATTTGGGCCATCTCCTACTGCTTTCCCAGGTCATCAGCAGAGAGCTGGATCAGAAGTGGAGCAGCCAGGACTTGAAGAGGCACCCATATGGGATGCTGGCGCTGCAGGGAGATGCTTAAACTACTATGCCACAGCAATGGCCCCAGTATCTTTATGTTTTATTATTATTGAAATAATTGGTTTCTATCCCAAATTTTTTTAGTATCTAAATTGTTATATACTTATTGAAATTTTAAAAATTATGTTTAATATTAGTATTTGAAAAAACTTACAAAAACAGACTTTAAAATATATACTTGTCAATTATAGGAACATTTCCATGTGAAATATAACCTCTCTTATAATTGTAAAGAAACAAAACATGGAGATACCAGTTTTTACTTATCATATTACTAAAACTTGTAAACTCATTATTGACAAGGATATGGGGAAATAGGCACTTTTATACTTTTTTTTAGAAAAAGATTTATTTATTTAATGGCAGAGTTAGAGAGACAGAGACAGAGACAGAGAGTGAGAGAGAGATCTTCCATCCTCTACTACGCTCCCCAAGTGACCACAGTGGGCAGGGCTAGGCCAGGCCAAAGCCAGAAGCCTTGACCTCCATTTAGGTCTCCCATGTGGGAGGCAGTGGTCCAGCCCAAGCACTTGGGTCATTTTGTGCTGTTTCCTCATTTGCATTAGCAGGGAGCTGGATTGGAAGTGGAGTAGCAAGGACTTGAACCAGTGCTCATATGAGATGCCAGTGTCAAAGTCAGCTGCTTAACCTGCTATGCCACAATGCCAGCCCTGACATCCTTGAAGAAATGTATATGGGTTGAACATTTTTGGAGGATGGTATAGCGGTATCAATGTCTTTTTTTTTTTTTTTTTTTTTGGTACAGGCAGAGTTAGACAGTGAGAGAGAGACAGAGAGAAAGATCTTCCTTCCATTGGTTCATCCCCCAAATGGCCACCACGGCCGGCGCGCTGCACCGATCCGAAGCCAGGAGCCAGGTGCTTCCTCCTGGTCTCCCATGCAGGTGCAGGGCCCAAGGACTTGGGCCATCCTCCACTGCCTTCCCGGGCCACAGCAGAGAGCTGGACTGGAAGAGGAGCAACTGAGACAGAACCGGTGCCCCAACCAGGACTAGAACCCGGAGTGCCAGTGCCACAGGTGGAGGATTAGCTTAGTGAGCTGCGGTGCCAGCCAGTGTATTTTTTAAAGGGATGCCAGCTGCATAAGCAGTAGCTTAACCTGCTATGCCACAATACTGGCCCTGTCAGCCTTTAAAACAATTTTTTTGTTTCTGTTTTTAAAGATTTATTTATTTACTTACTTGAAAGGCAGAGTTACACAGAAAGAGAGACTACACAGATGTGTGGGATGTTCCATCCACCATATCCCTCCTCAAATGGCTTCAACGGCTGGAGCTGAGCCAGGCCAAAGCCAGGAGCCAGGAGCTTCTTCTGGGTCTCTCATGTGGGTGCAGGGGCCTAAGGACTTAGGCCATCCTCCTCTGCTTTCCCAGGCATGTTAGCAGGGAGGTTGATCAGAAATGGAGCAGCTGGGACATGAGCTGGTGCCCATATGGTTTATCAGGTAGCAGATTATCTGCTATGCCACACTATCAAAATTTTAGATGCACCTTCTTTTGAATCTAAAAACTTTTTAAAAAATTATTTATTTATTTGAAAAGCAATTTCAGAGAGAATCTTCCATCTGGTGTTTCACTCCCCAGATGGTCACAATGACTGGGGCTGGGCCAAACCAAAGCCAGAAACCAGGAACTCTATGTGGGGTCTCCTACCTGAGTGCAGGGGTCTAAACACTTGGGCCATTCTCTGCTGCTTTCCCAGGCACATTAGCAGGGAGCTGGATCGGAAGTGAAATAGAACTTGAACTGGTACCCATATGGAATGCCCTTATTGCAGGCAGTGGCTTAATAGCTGTGCCACAATGCTAGCCCCAAATCTAGAAATTCATAAGCTAGAAAAATATCTTGAGAGTATACTTGCACAAATATACAAGGTTATATATTTATAAGGATTTTCATTATAACATTGGCTAAAATAGAAACAAACTGGAAATGTGTCTTTCATTGAAGATTGAGTAAATTATGAACCATTTATATAATAGAATACTGTGCAAGTTGTTTAAAAGAATAGACTGAAAAAATTTTAAAAAATATAAAAGAGTTGACTGATAAATTATCTGAGAGATAGGAAGAATAGCTAGATGCAGGACAGTATGATCTCATTTGTGTTTTTAAAGCATGTATAAAGAGAGGCTGGAGACACACACACACACACACACATATATACTAAAATCTATGTAAGTATGAAATCTTCTATTACATGTAATGTCTCCTCAAAGACTTAAAGCATTAAAATACCAACCAACATTTTTGAAATACTCAGTGTATGCCTGTTCTGTCCTGAACATTTTACAATGCTTTATTTAATTCATTTGATACCAATAGTGATCTTATGAAGGTAGGTACTATTATTTTCCTTATTTAATGAATGAGGAATTCAAATTAGGGATGAAAAATAATTTACTCAAGCTCACACAGCCAGGTAAGTAAAGAAAACAGAGGTTATCTTTGAGAATAAAATGGGGAGTTGGAAATAGTAGGACGATTTTGACTTTTCAGTTTATGCCCTTCTATACTATTTGAAATTTCTTAATCTGCATGTATTTGTATAATATTAATACAATTTTCTTCAGTTCATTAACAGCACAGTTTATACTTCTTTGCAGTTACACCCCCAGATTACCAACCTCCTGGTTTTAAGGATGGTGATTGTGCTGGAGTAACATTTGAAGGGGAGCCTATGTACTTAAATGTGGGAGAAGTCCCAACACCTTTTCACAACTTTAGAGTAAAAGTCACCACTGAGAAAGAACAAATGGAAAATATTGATACACTTCTACTATCATCAAAACAATTAAAAACACCCTTTCAAAAAATCCTGATGGATAAAGATGATCAAGAAGATGAACAGGAACATTATATAAATGTGAGTGTATTTGAAGAGTTATAAAGTAAAATAGTAACAAATGTTTGACTCAATTCTGATAATGTTTCTAGCTTTCATTAATATTTGTATTAATACTATATTATCATAAACTCAAGGTTGGAAAGGACCTTAAAAATAAAATCTGGTACTGTGGTCTTAAACCTTTTTAATCTTCCTACAAAAGACATCCTACTCAGAAATTGAAAGCATGATTATTCTTTTTTAAAAAAATTTTATTTTAATTTTAATCCGTTTTTAAACATTCAATATAGTTCATGGATATAATTCTAAGAATATAATGATATGTCCTTCCTCCCTCCAATTGTCTTCCTCCTACCCAAAAGCATAAATATTCTAACTAAAGCAAGAAATGGTCCTGGAGGCTCAAGAAATCATCTGTCCTCATAGTGGGCCCTGAGGAAACCCCTAGGATTCTAGGGAATAACTTAAAAATTATTGAACTCAGGGCTAGTGGTGTGCTTCAGAGGGTTAAGCTGCCACCTCTGATGCCAGTATTCCATGTGGCACCGGTTTGAGTCCTGGTTACTCCACTTCCCATCTATCTCCCTGCTAATACGTCTGGGTAAACAATGGAAGATGGCCCAAGTTCTTGGGCCCCTGCTACCCACTTAGGAGACCCAGATGGAGTTCCAGGCTCCTGGCTTCGGTCCAGGTGATTGCAGTCATTGGGGAGTGAACCCACATATGGAAGACCTCTCTGTTTTTCCTTCTCTCTGTATAACCCTGCCATTCAAATAAATAAATTTAAAAAAATTATTGAACTAGTCCAGTCCCCAACTAATGACAGAATATATAATATCCAGCCAGTATATAATATACATAATAGCCCTACTGAGTGTTCATTTTAGCCTGTACTTGAATTTCTTTAGGGCCTGGAGTGTCACTGTCCTGAAGCAGTCTGGAAGGCAGGAAAAGGGTCTTCATCATCTTTTTTTAATGTTTATTTTTATTTATTTTTATCCATTTGAAAGGCATGGTGACACAGAGTTGGGGAGACAGAGAGGGAGATTTCACGGGCTGGTTCACTCCCCGAATGCTGGCAACAGCTAAGCCTATTCCAGGCTGAAGCCAGGAGTCTGGAACTCCATCTGGGTCTCAGATGGGTAACAAGAGTATAAGCACTTGAGTCATGATCTGCTGCCTCCCAGAATGCATTAGCAAGAAGCTGGATCAAAGCATAGTAGCCAGGACTCTCTAACTAGCACTCCAGTATGGGATGGGGCATCCAAAGTGGTGACTTAACCCACCACACCACAACACCTGCCCCTTACTCATCTTTTTAATCATCCAGTGCCATGCCCAGCACTTAGATTTGGAGTCAGTGTGTCTCAGTATTGGTTGAATGAATAGATGAATAGAAGTTGGTTATCTCACTGCCAGTAAATGTCAAAGTTACTGCTTTAATCTTTCTGCATTACAATTTGTCTTTTAATTTCTCCTCCCTCCCTCCCTCCCTCCCTCTCTCCCTCCCTCCCTCCCTCCCTCCCTCCCTTCCTTCCTTCCTTCCTTAATTCCTTAATTCCTTCCTTTTTCCTCCCTCCCTCCCTCCCTCCCTCCCTCCTTCCTTCCCTCCTACCTTTCTTTCTTTCATTCATTCATTTTTACTTATTTGAGAGGCAGAGTTATAGACAGAGAGAGAGAGCTTCCATCTGCTGGTTCACTCCCCAAATGACTGCAAAGGCCAGGGTTGGGCCAGGCTGAAGCCAGGAGCCAGAACCTTCTTCCGGTCTACTTCATGGGTGCAAGGGCCCAAGTACTTGGACCATCTTCTGCTGCTTTCCCAGGCGCATTAGCAGGGAGCTGGATTGGAAGTGGAACAGTGAGGACTTGAACCAGCATCCATAGGGGATGCATGCCCAGCAGATGGTGGCTTAACTTGCTACACCACAGTGGTCCCCAGAGGCTTATAATTCTGAATTATGCTTTGTGTCAATATCTTTACAAAGAGAAAATTCAGTCAACTTTCAATGAATTCAGTCAAAAAAGAAAAACTTTCCTCAAGCCTAAATCCCACTGTTTTATAAACAGATATGACTGGGATTTTTTTATCATTCTTTAAAATATTTAAGTCTCTTTCACATACACTGCAAAAGGTATCAGTAAATACAGATGTTAATGCTTTGTTTTTCCACCATACCATGACTAATTCTATCCTTTGTTAACCTCCCTCAAGAGAGTTGGGGCATATTCAGAGTTTAGGTTAGCATTTGTATGGCGATTCTAGAGCATGTGTTAACATGTGTAATTCTGTGCCCTCAAACAATGGTACTATCTAAAAAGATTCTTAAAATTATCATTCATTTGGAGAAAGTTGTATATTTTTGTCATTTTAAGAAAAGATTTATTTATTTGAAAGGCAGAGTTACAGGGAGACAGAGGCAGAGAGAGAGAGATCTTCCATCTGCTGATCCACTCCCCAAATGGCTGCAATAGCTGGAGCTGGGCTGATCCCAAGCCAAGAGGCAGGAGCTTCCTCCGGGTCTCCCACGTGGGTGCAGAGGCCCAAGCATTTGGACCATCCTCCACTGCTTTCCCAGGCCATAGCAGAGAACTGGATTGGAAGTAGAGCAGTCAGGACCTGAACCAGGGCCCATTTGGGTATCCGGCCCTGCAGGCAGCAGCCTTACCCACTATGCCATAGCACCACCCTTGTCATTTGTTTTTAAAGCAGCTCTACAAAGTGAAGAAAAATCATGATTTTGACTTTGCTTAAATAAAGAAATTGTGTTGTGATAGTAATTGTAGGACCTTTTTTATTTCTAGGATTCATAAAAGCAGTCCTAGTTTTATTTTATATTTAGCCTTCACATAAAAAAAATTTGTTCATAAATAAATATAATTGTTTCAATTATTTTTTAAATGTATCCATTTTTTACATATAATTATGTAGGATGATTTTGACATTGAAACTAAAATGGAAGAGCAGAAAAAACACCCTGGATGTTCTGAACTTGGAGGTAAGATGTGAATGAAAACAAAAACTAACTTACTTTAATTAAACTTTATACCATTTTAACTTTAAAAAATTTTTTTTATAGAACCAAGTTTAGTTTGTGAGGAGGATGAAATTATGAAGTGTAAAGAAAGTCCAGACCTTTCCGTTTCTCATAACCAGGTACAAACTTGATAGTTCCAACTCACTTGTAATTTGTTTCTCAGATTTTCTTATTCTAGCTCTTTTAGAATAGAATTAGGTGTTTAGAGTACTTACTGTTAACAAAATCTGGCAATTATGTGTTGAAAATTTGTGAGTATAATACTGGAGAATTTGCTTAGTAACAAACCTAGAATTTCAGAGCTAGATAGAGATGCAATTATTTATTCCACGCTATTTCATGTTTAAAAATGGGGCATCTGGGCAGGCCATTGGCCTAGTTGAACACATCTGTCAGGATACTCACATCCTATTTAGGAATGCCTGAATTCAACCCAGCTTTGTTTCTGATCCAGCTTCCTGCTAATGTGCACCCTTGGAGGCAGCAGGTAATGGTTCATGTAGTTGGGTTCCTGCCAACCACTTGGGAAACCTGGATTGGGTTCAAAGCCCCTTGCTGTGGCCTGGGCAGGCCATTGTTAGTGTTTGGAGAGAGTGAAACCAGTGGATAGGAGCGCTCATGCTCACTCTGTTTGTCGCATCTCAATTTTTTAAAGATTTATTTATTTATTTGAAATAAATTTTGTTTATTTATTTGAAGTAAATTTGAAAGGTATATATATGTGTATATATATATATATATAGAGAGAGAGAGAGAGAGAGAGAGAGAGAGAGAATCTTCCATCCATTGGTTCACTTCCCAAATGGCTGCAACTCCAGGGCTGAGCCAAGCCAAAGCCAGGAGCAGGAGCTTCTTCCTGGTCTCCCATTTGGGCACAGAGGCCCAAGAACTTGGACCATCTTCCAACACTTTCCCAGGCATATTACCAGGGAGCTAGATCAGAAGTGGAGCAACTGGGACTCTAACCAGCAGCACCCATACGGGATGCCAGCACTGTAGGTGGAGGCTTAGCTTTCTAGGCCACGGTACCAGCCCCGCATCTCAAATTTTTTTTAAAAATTTAATAATAAAATAAATGAAGTATATAATACATTTTTGTTGCCTTGGAGCAGAGATTGTTAATTGTGCTTTCCATATATAGTACTGTAAAATTCTGAAATAACACATTTAGATAATATGAACTTGGAAATAATGGGATTTGTGATTGTCCCTCTTCCTCTGTCCAGCCCCTTTCCCAAATGAGATTGGGCAAAAATTCTTATCTTCTGGATGTATAATGCTTAGTGTTCATTTGGGATTTTCTCAGTTCAGTAAATGATCAGTTGTGTACAGCACTGGTTTCAATATCTTCTGTGCTTTTGGTGGAAGTGTGAACCAACTCAAAATTGTTCGATGTCATCAGCTTAATATAAAAAGACTCTAAATTTTATGCGATTAAATTTTTGGACTCCATGTATTATAAGAATTTTATTATGTTATCTATTTTTGTGTAACTATTTTCTTTTTTAGGTTGAGCAGTTAGTCAACAAAACATCTGAACTTGTTATGTCTGAAAGCAAAACAAGAAGTGGAAAAATCTTTCAGAATAAAATGGTAAATATCTGTAGGTTTGTTTTCCATTCTAACCTTATAATTCCCCCCACATGAGTTTATTTTAATACCTCATTTGTTGGACTGACATTTATTAAATACCTATTATGTATCAGGTACTTTACTCGGTGCTGTGACTATAACCTGAATAACACATAGTGATTGATCTTAACTAAAATTTTAGTAACTAAAGGTAAACAAGCAATGTACAACAGGCCTGTTAGAGAAGTCTAAATAAGCTTTATTGGGGCAGAAAGGAAGGGATGATTAATTTTTCTTAATGTACATTAGAGAGTAAAAATCCAGGAAGGGCTTTGAGAAATATTACTAGTATTACTAGTAACCAGACTCCCAAGGGAATTTATTAGAATGCCAGAAATTCCCATGTTCTATATTATAAATTATCTTGTTAATAAAACATTATAAAATTATCTTTTGTATATATCTTGTATAAAAATAATCTCATGTTCTTAAGCAAAAAAACTCATTGCTTTATTTCAGTTTTCAGTATGCATTATATGAATTCAAATTTCACACTTGATTTTAGATCTTTGTACTACTCTCTAAGGTTCAGGTATAAAGAAAAAGCATTCTGTAAAATATAGTATAAAATACTACATCCAAAGATATGGAACAGATAGCTCACTCTATCAGTGGAGGGCCAGAGTATTTCTTCCCAATCTCCCATTCATTGATGTCCTGTTGGACAAGGTAGTAATAGTAAGAGCTGGAAATCAGCAAACACCCCAGAGCTTGTTTCTGTAAGAGAACTTGGTAAATATTTACCAAAATAGCACTGATTATAATGAGATGTTTAGGGGCCTTGTGTTCCAAACACATTCTCAAGGAAATTAGAACTTACAGAAGTCAGCGTTCAAACTAAAGTGCTGGTGAAAGAAAGAAATAAAGGAATGTCAAAAAAAATTATCACTTCTGGTAGCAAAATGTTCTTCCTAGCCAGTTTCTGTTTAGGATGAGTATCCTTTAATAAGAAATAGGGAGAAATTATTAAACAAGATTTCCTTGTAATTTAAGAGGTTTTGGAACATGAATTCATTTCTGAAATTGCATGTGTTTTTGGATATAAACTCAGAGTACTTCTCATTTTGAGACTCATGACTGATGTATGCTTAAGAAAGGGCATTTCAAGTATCAGAAAAGAATTTTCTTTTAGAGAATATGTGGCAGCTAATTGTCATCTTCCAATATACAATATTTTAACAGCTGTCTGTATAGCAGTATTCACAACACCCAAAATATGGGCAAAAGCTAAGTGTCCATTGACAGATAAATAGTGGTATATCCTTACAATCAAAAATGATTCATCGGCCGGCGCTGCAGCTCACTAGGCTAATCTCCGCCTAGCGGCGCCGGCACACTGGGTTCTAGTCCCGGTCAGGGCGCTGGATTCTGTCCCGGTTGCCCCTCTTCCAGGCCAGCTCTCTGCTGTGGCCAGGGAGTGCAGTGGAGGATGGCCCAGGTGCTTGGGCCCTGCACCCCATGGGAGACCAGGAAAAGCACCTGGCTCCTGGCTCCTGCCATCGGATCAGTGCGGTGTGCCGGCCGCAGCGCGCCGGCCGCGGCGGCCATTGGAGGGTGAACCAACGGCAAAGGAAGACCTTTCTCTCTGTCTCTCTCTCTCTCACTATCCACTCTGCTTGTCAAAAAAGTCCACATACTACATGATTCCATTCATAGGAAAGTCAGAATTGGGAAAGCTATTGAGGCAGGAAGTCTTAAGGCTAGTGGGAGGATGAAGGAATAGAAGCGTGAGAGGTAAAGGATATGAAGTTTCTTTTTGAAGTGATGGAAGTATTCTAAAATTGTCTATGGTGACAGTTGCACAACTCAGTAAATATACTTAAATTCATTGTTTTGTATACTTTTGGATAGATGAATCATAGAGTATCTGAATCTTCATAAAGCTTTATAAAGCTGTTTTTAAAAAACTATGTGTAGATGCATATAAGGTTGAAAAATTAAATATTGACTGTTCTTTGAGAGTAACAAAGTACTGATTATTCTCATTGTGGAGGCAAATGAAAATCAGCCAGTAAAATCTTCTAAAGAAAATCGGAAGAGAAGTCAGCCTGAATCTAAGAAAAATGTAAGTCTTATGATAATATATGGGTGAAATAAATTAGTAAGTATCAGAATGTCATTACTATACATTAAATTTAAAATGAAATAATTTGATAGTGTTTCTGGATATGCCTTGGAGTTCTGCTATTCAAATCTTGCTTAAATTATTTTGTTCTAAAAAATTAGGCTGGGCAGGTGTTTGGTGTAAGAGTTAAGATGCTGCTTGAGACACCCATATTCCCGATTGGAGTGTTTGGGTTCAAATCTCGGCTCCACCTATTCCAGCTTCCTGTTAATGTGCACTGAAAGGCAGTAGGTGATGGCTCAAACACTTGGGTCCTTGTTACCCATGTAGGAGCTATTGTGAGGTCTGGGCTTCTGTCTCAGCCTGACCCAATCATTGGAATTTAGGTCATTTGGAGAGTGAACCAGAGGATAGGATATTCCTTCTCCCTCTCCCTTCATATATAACTAATACATATGAATAAAATAAATAAAAATATAAATGAAATTCATAAAAATAAAAATGAAACAATTTATAAGTAAGATACACTGTGTTGGTTAATTGTTTTCAGTGTACATATCTGCTGTCTTGTTTCACAAATGATTTAAAGAAATTAGAAGAATTCATAAAATAGAAATCAGGGCTGTTGCTGTGGCGCAGTGGGTTAAAGCCCTGGCCTGCAGTGCTGGCATCCCATATGGGTGCTGATTCAAGTCCCAGCTGCTCCACTTCCGATCCAGCTCCCTGCTAATGCATCTGGGAAAGCAGCAGCAGATGACCCAAGTCCTTAGACCCCTGTACACATGTGGGAGACCTGGAAGAAGCTCCGGTCTCCTGACTTTGGATCAGCTTAGCTCTGTTGTGGCCATTTGGGGAGTGAATTAGCAGATGGAAGACTCTCTCTCTGTCTCTGCCTCTCTCTGTAACTCTTTGAAATAAATAAAATAAATCTTTAAATAAATAAAAATCAGCATTAGGAAAAATGTGAGTAGACTAATATTCAGGCCATTTTTTATGTAGAACTGAAATTGGGCCTGAAATCTAAGCTTTCTATAGGCCAAAACTAAAGTAGAAATAAAGTAAGTTTTCAAATTTATGTGTTTTCTAAAAATGTAGAATTTCCTCCTGGTACCTCTAGAGAAAGAAAACTTTTCCTCATCTAAATCCTATAGTGTTTGTTTATTTGTTTGTTTGTTTGTTTTATTTATAAGAATTACAGAGAGAATGGGAGAGACAGAGATAGAGACAGAGGTCTTCCATCTGCTGGTTCACGCTCCAAATGGTCACAACAGCCAGGGCTGAGCCAGGCTGAAGCCAGGAGCCAGGAGCATCTTTCAGGTCTCCTACATGGGTGCAGTGGCCCAAGCACATGGGCTATATTCAAGCACCTGGGCCATCCTCCACTGCACTCCCTGGCCACAGCAGAGAGCTGGCCTGGAAGAGGGGCAACCGGGAACATTTCTGAAATAAATATATTTTTCCAACTAAAATTTTAGTATTGTAGTAGTTTAAAATTAGGCAATTGAAAACTTAGACTATTTTATAAAAATCAAATGTTAAATGGGTAATCTCAAAAATATATTTGGTTAATATTTTTGTCTATTTATAGAACTTACAGGCCGGCGCCGTGGCTCACTAGGCTAATCCTCCGCCTTGCGGTGCCGGCACACCGGGTTCTAGTCCCGGTCGGGGTGCTGGATTCTGTCCCGGTTGCCCCTCTTCCAGGCCAGCTCTCTGTTGTGGCCAGGGAGTGCAGTGGAGGATGGCCCAAGTCCTTGGGCCCTGCACCCCATGGGAGACCAGGATAAGTACCTGGCTCCTGCCATCGGATCAGCGCGGTGCGCCGGCTGCAGCGCGCCGGCTGCGGCGGCCATTGGAGGGTGAACCAATGGCAAAGGAAGACCTTTCTCTCTCTCTCTCTCTCTCTCACTATCCACTCTGCCTGTCAAAATAAATAAATAAATAAATAAACTTACAAATGGAATGAAATGGAACTACCTGACATTCCATTACTACATTAGATTCTTTAATTTTTCCATTGTATTAAGTCTTGATTTTTTTCCTATAAAATCATAATCTGTTACTCTCAATGAGTTTTTTTCCAGGAAAATTAAAGTTCAGTAACTCAGGAGATCTTGTTAGGAATTCCTTGAATTATCCTCCTATTTATTAAAAAAAAAAGTGCATTAAATGTTTACTGTCAAGCCCTGCTAAGTACCAGAGGAATAAAAATCAAGACATAATTTAAATCTTCCATGGTGCCAAGAGAAAATGTTTCTCTATTTCTAATTCATTTAAAAAATTTTCTCTTATTTAACTATTTTGAGGACATAGATGAAATCTATCTCCTAAACCCCACAGCAGCCCTAATGAGGATCTTACACTTTGTGTGTATGTGTGTGTATATGTGTAGAGTTTCAGCAGCCATTGGAAGCAATAATAAATTTTATCCTATATTTAAAAAATCCATATATCCTGGGGTCAGTGTTGTGGTGTAGTAGGTTAAGCCTCCACCTGTGGTACTGGCATTCCAAGTGGGTGCTGGTTCATGTCCTGGCTGCTCCTCTTCTGATCCAGCTTTCTGCTGATGGCCTGGGAAACCAGTGGAAGATGGCCCAATTCCGTGGGCCCCTGCACCTATGTGGGAAACCCAGAAGAAGCTCCTGGCTCCTGGCTTCAGATTAGCCCAGCTCTGGCTGTTAAGGCCATTTGGGGAGTCAACCAATGGATGGAAGATCTTTCTCTCTGTCTCTCTCTATCACTCTGTCAAAATAAAGAAAGAAAGAAATAATCCACATATCCTACTCTTAGTAATTGTTTTCTTTTGACAGGTACACCATGACTTTGATTCTCCTAGTCAAGAGTCAATCCCAAAAAGGAGAAAGTTTAGTGAACCAAAGGAACATTTGTAAACATTATTTCTTCTACACATTTGCAAAGTTCTCAACATTTAAATTAAGAGACAGTATATTGCTATGTTAAGGTGTGTTTTCCCTACCTCTGAAAATGTATACATAATTTTAAGCAGTTCATTCAGTAACATGAAGTTTTTAGCTGTCATATTGTACTCCTTAATATTATGTGAGACAAGTTCAAAACTTTGTACACAACCAAAAATACAGATGTCATAATTTATTCCATTCATTATCTGCTCAATATTGATCTATAATTTTTTGGATATTTCCTTTAAATATGTATTAATTTTTAAGACCCTCTAAGTCCATTTTTGAAGCAAATAATGTTTTTGGTATTAAAATATTCACTTTTTACTTATGTTAAAACTACAATTTAACTTGCTTTGTCATTTTGTTATTAAAACAATATTCTTTAATACTTTGATATAATGTTAACATGATAATATATGATGTATGGTTTAAAAATGAGTGCTTTGTCTGTTTTTACATTTTTCACTACAGATCAAAAAGATGACTGATTTTTAAGGCCTAGTGTTTGTAGCAGAATAAAGTGTTTAATATGTAGGCTCTTTGTTTGCTTCTAATTTTTACTAGCAGAAAATGTTAGGTACTGATTTTGAGATCATTTTGGTAGATATTACTTTACAAGAGCTAAGCATATTTCCTAGAACTTTTGAATGGTATTGTGAAAGATACTGTACTTTTAAGGAAAAATCCAAGAACTAGTTCCAGCCTTGCCAATTTCCTTTGCCTTAGAAAAGAAAAACTTAAAACTTGGTGTGTTTGCCTCGTCTAGTTTCAGCAGCCATATCCCCAAAACATACATTATTCATGGGCTTGTCAGTAACAAGCCCTATAGGAAATGTTGATAAATATGCAAAATACGTGTACCTATCCTGCTTAATGTAAACCAAACAGATCGATCCAGGTCAGGTTTTTTTAGTCAAGTCGGGGATAAGCTTTCTATCAAAAACAACCAATTTTAAGATGTTTGTTTATTCTTAGCTTTATTCCCTGGATCCCAACATTTCTCAATTAATTGTTCCAATGCTACAGTAACACACCTGCTACGTTCAAATTGACCAACAGAAACTACAAGATTGGCAGCCCTTGTTAGCTCACTGAATGCTTTGATTGGCCGGTTTAATAGGGGTGGGGAGCGCAGCCCTCTTTCCTCTCTTCCACCACGGTTTCCTTCATTGGATTGACCAGCTGTCAGATTGAACCCAAACCTGCCTCCTTTTGGTGGTGTTTGTCTGGATCGCAACACAATAGCCGAGGGGGAGAGCCTCCCCTTGCAAGCTCCGGTTGGCTGGACTCAACCGTGGGGATTTCTGATTGGTCCAATGAAGGAACACCAAGATAGGTTGCCTAGTGATCCTTAGGAAGCTGATGTGTTATTCCTTCTCTGCATCGAAGGATCAGGAAGTTTGTGTTCTCTGCGTGGCTAAGAAGTTTTTCATCTACCGAGACGGGGATTGGGAGGGGGGAACAGGTGCCCTGCTAATATAGAACGCAAACCACCGCCTGCGTCCAGCGTAACCCAGGATTAATATCAGGTAAGCAATGGCTAAATTTCATTTCCCAACGTCCAAAAAAAAAACACCTCAAATTATTTATTTTATTTTATGGGGAGAGGGAGGTTTTAGATATTTGGGACCATTCGGTTTGTTTTTCTAGATTTCATTTTTAACTAGTAAATGCCCAGGGTAAATAAGTTTCTCAAAGGAGATTCTCCTTTATTGTTTTCCCAGAGGGTTTAAAGTTTTTTGGATTGAGTTAAGAAATAGCCCCTATTCACAGTGCCAGGTAAAGGTAGTGCCCTTAAACATTTATTTCATGGTTCTCTTCCTCCTTCACTCTTCTTCCTGCCTCCCACCAAAAATATTTGAAATATACGCTTTTACAACCTGCCTTGTAAGTCACTTCACTTGTATTTTTGTTTTCAACGTCCACATGCATTGTGAGTATTCGTTTTAATCAATATATATTTATTGAGCAATTGCAATGTTAAAGATGTGCTAGTTGCTATGGAGGATATAAAACCCCAAGAAGACAATATTCCTGCCCTCAAGAAGTTTACAGTTGAGAGAACCATACTAAAAGACAGACTATAATAAATGTTTTAAGGAAGTAAGTATAAATAAAGTTCTACAAAAGTACAGGTGAAGGAGAGATGAATTCTGGCCATGGGACATATGGGTAAAGATTCACTTAAAGTTTCAGTGAGTCTTCAGTGGGCCTTTGAAGAATGGGTAGAATTTAGAGAGGAAGGGAAAAGGGAGAGAAGCACAGCAAAGACAAAGGAACAAAGGCAGAAAGAAAGCACAGGACAGACGTATTTGATGAAAGTATTTACAGGGAGTGTAATAGGAAATATTGCCGGGAGGTAGAACTGGTTCCAATCTTAGTGGCTGTTAAATATTGTCCTTTTGTTCTCAAAAAATATTTTCTTTATATAATTTCAGCTTAAAAATCTTTGTTGTATAGCATCTTAAAAATGAGCATCTAGATTTGTATAAAATGTAATAACTTTATCACAGATTATTTAATGCAGTTTCTTTTGACAAGATTTCTTAAACTGGTGCTTGGTGTAAAAGGCATGTGTGTTGATTTTTTTTTTTTTTTTTGATTGAGAAAGAATTGTTACAGTTTGATACTGTCTTTCTGGTTCTATTTGTTAGCAACTGTGTACACAAAGTCTGCAAGATGGCTAGCTAAAGCTAGGGATCTGAGTCTACTGACTGGAATTACTGCATGTGATTTTCTGAGTGTTGTTCTCTAGACAGGTGATCTCCAAATTGAGTGCATGATACTAGTTATTAGTCATTACATAAGCACACACATACGGATTTTAATTTTATGCCACTCCCTCCAGAAACAGGTGAGAATGACCACTTTAACTCACCGGGCTCGTCGCACTGAAGTAAGCAAGAACTTTGAAAAGAAGGTAGAAAGTGAGGAAGACTGTAATCAAGAGAGGAATCCAGACACTGAAGACCCTGGAGACTCCAAGGATATACGCCTCACCCTTATGGAAGAAGTATTGCTCCTGGGACTAAAAGATAAAGAGGTAATGCTATTAGGTTTGCTAGGCTATCTCAAAAGACTACAATATTAGAATGGGTTATCAAGTAATCTGATGAAATCTTTTTGTCAGTGGTTAAGTTGGCCTTAGAATTGTGAACCAGCCATCTGGGAGAGGAATTTGGCAGGGTGGATGATACTTGGAAATTAAAATCCTGAAGTGGAATGATATGAAGTGTAATTAAATTTTGTTTGTTGATTTGAAGGCTAGAGAAAGGGAGAGACAGAGATCTCTTGTCTAGTGGTTCACTACCCAAATGCCTGTAACAGCCAAGGCTGGGCCAAGCTGAAGCCAGGAGCCCAGAATTCACTCTGGATCTCTCACATGAGTGCCAGGGACCCAAGTATTGAGCCATCACCTGCTGTGATCCAAAGTGTGCATAATACCAGGAAGCTGGAATTGAAAGTGGAGTCACGGCTGAAACCCAGGGATACGGGATGCCACTTCACCAAATGCCCATCCTTGAAGTATAGTTTAATTTCAAAGTTACTCCAAAATTTTAGAAGATACAGAAGAGGATAATACACTATGTAGTTTTATACTTGTAGCTTCCCAAAACAATTTGATAGTGAAATAATAATCACATTTAAATAAGAAATAGGGCCCACATGTTGAAGTCTTTTTGAGCTTTGGAGAGAAAAAGTCTTAAATGAAAAGATAAGTAATAAGTGTGATTAGCTATCTTACAGAAATAAATGATGGATAGATTTTTTTGTAGTGTAGTATAACAGTAGTAATTTTTTAATTCTCTTCTCGAAGATCTTTAAAAGATAAATGAGAATTATTTTAATTTTAGAAAAAATTATAAATAGCTTCAGCGTAACTTTTTTTCTAAATTTTTCTGTATTAATAGAATTATGTGGTTTAAAGTAGAATTGGTCTTGAGGTAGTATGTTCTGGCATATAGCCAAATATCTCTGGTTTTTCTACTAATACTGTACACTATCTTTCGCTTGTTATCTAACTTTTTACTATGTTTTCCCATCTCTCTCTTTGCTCATAAAGAGGTTATGAAGGCATTTAGATGTAATATTTTAAACATATAGATGTGGCCGGCGCCGCAGCCCACTAGGCTAATCCTCCACCGGCGGTGCAGGCACCTGGGGTTCTAGTCCCGGTTGGAGTGCCAGCTTCTGTCCCGGTTGCCCCTCTTCTAGGCCAGCTCTCTGCTGTGGCCCGGGAGTGCAGTGGAGGATGGCCCAAGTGCTTGGGCCCTGCACCTGCATGGGAGATCAGGAGGAAGCACCTGGCTCCTGGCTTCAGATCGGCGCAGCACACCAGCTGTAGCAGCCACTTGGCGGGGTGAACCAACGGAAAAGGGAAGACCTTTCTCTCTGTCTCTCTGTCACTGTCTAGCTCTGCTTGTCAAAAAAAAAAAAAAAAAAAAAAAAAAAAAAAAAAAAAAAAACCACACACACATAGATGTAATATTTTAAACAATATGCTTTCTTTCCAAGGAAGTCTTTTTTTTTTTTTGACAGGCAGAGTGGACAGTGAGAGAGAAAGAGAGAAAGGTCTTCCTTTGCCGTTGGTTCACCCTCCAATGGCCGCCGCGGCCGGCATGCTGCAGCCGGCGCACCGCGCTGATCCGATGGCAGGAGCCAGGAGCCAGGTGCTTTTCCTGGTCTCCCATGGGGTGCAGGGCCCAAGCACCTGGGCCATCCTCCACTGCACTCCCTGGCCACAGCAGAGGGCTGGCCTGGAAGAGGCGCAACCAGGACAGAATCCGGCGCCCTGACCGGGACTAGAACCCAGTGTGCCGGCGCCACTAGGCGGAGGATTAGCCTAGTGAGCTGCGGCGCCGGCTCCAAGGAAGTCTTAAGTAAACAGAGGAATATTTATTATTAGCCCTCAGTTTGGAAAACTTAGACAATTAAAATGTTAGTTTATATAGGAAAATACTGTATTTGGTTTCCATAATTGTGCTAAGCTAAAAATGAATTGGCTGTTTATACCTCTAGTACCATCTCTTCCTTTCTACATTGATTCCTCAGCTTTGCATTTTGTTTTTCCTTCTCAGTTTTTTGTCATGTCAGATTACCAGCCTGAATAGAACTTAGAACTGTTATAGTCTCTGTATTGTTAATATTAGGAACACGTTCATATGCACTTGACCAAAACACAGTATATGAAAGTGTTTCCATCCATGCATATGAAGAGTACTCAAAAAGTTCATGAAAATGCATTTTTGAAGCAATTCAGGATTTCAAAATTTTTTTGTAACAAAACATCTTTTAATTTCTTTTTTCCTTGAACTCTCTGAAGTACTCTTATATTAGAAAATTTCGCCTAGAAGTTATTTTCCTCTTTGCTAAGAAAGTTGATAAGGCTCCAATTTTATAAAGAGCAAGTAAATGAAAAGGCAAAACCAACTCTGCAAAAGAATGTTAGAGTACCACTGAAGATTAGGTGGTATAAATACTGTTTTGAGATGTTTATACAATGCATAGGAAACATTCCCTGACTGTAGAATATTTTAGAACTAAAAGCTACTTGATTTTAGTTTTAAATAGCTAGTTTTGATTAATTTCCTTATGACCTGATGCTAGACACTAGGAATTTTGCTTCTTTGATGTAGAAGAATTGCCCTTGTATTTGTCTTTCTATATTTATAAATTTATAATAGTTAATAACTAATACAATTTTTAGAAATAGAATAAAGGACCTCATTAAGATCTCTGGCCATAATGAGTACTCAGCATATTGGTGGTACATTATACAAATGGGGAGATAATAATTAGCCACCTTTTGAATTGTTCTAATTTTATTTTAGAAGATACTTGACAGATTTTTTAGCTTTCATTTGCCTCAGAAAGAATGAGACCTGGATTAGGTTCCCAACTCCTGGCTTCAGCCTGGCACAACCCCACTGTTCTGGGTATTTGGGGAGTGGACCAGTGGATAGGAAGCTGTCTGTCTCTATTTCTCTCTCGCTCACTGCCTCTCAAATAAAAATTAATAATAAATATTTGAAAATAAGACAATTTAAAAATGTTTAGACTCTTTCATTGTGGTATTGGATGAAAAATTTAAATGTCTTCCCAGAAGACTGAATTTCTTAAATTTTGTTTTCAACTTTAATCTAGAATTCCTCCTTGGTAGAGTAGTAAAAAGTGTGCTCTTATTTCTGAGCCTCTATTTTAGGTGGTGCTTTGGGATAGTCAAGAAGAATATTGGAGATATATCACTACTGCTCATTCTATGTCAGCATCTAGTTGCACTGATTATGCTTTCTATAACATTTAAATCTTTCCCAAAACTGTCGTCCTTTGCCATTAGAAGTAGTATTGTTAATAATTAAGAGTGGAAAAAGGAGAGAGAGGAGAAGAGTGGGAGTGTGGACAGGAGGGAGGGTACAATGGGAAGAATCACTATGTTCCTAAAGCTGTATATATGAAATGCATGAAATTTGTGTAACTTAAAAAAACTGAAGAAAAAACAAAAATAAATGCTTGTGCTTTTTACAAAAAAAAATTCACTTTAGTTATAAGGATGATTTAAAAAATAGAGTAGGACTTTGAATTGTAAAAGTTCACACTATTATTTTCCCTTGTGTGTTTTGGGGGAAAAAGTGTAAAACTCTATTCTTCATATTCATAAAGAATTTAAGCAATAGAGAGAAGAATAATTAACAAAGTAAAAAAAAAAGAAATCTTTCCTAGATATATTGGTAGGTAAATTTTAGTTGTTAAACATTCCCTTTTTTCAAGAATTATGGATAATTCATGCATATAAAAATGTATAAAAATAATATAATGAATTCCAAGTAATCTACATCAAGCTGAGTCTATACATTTAGATAAGATAGAAGTATAGTGAATTATGGTTATTAAATATAATATACATGTCTTGATAATCATATATGTCTGAAAGTCACAGTTTAAAAATTTGGAAGTAAGTATGGGAAAGATTTTAAGAGTCTTTATTTGAAAGAAAGTGACAGAGAGGAAGGGGAGGGAGAGAAAGAGAGAGAGAGAGATTGAGTTTTCCCAAATTCCTGCAAACAGCCAAGGCTGGGCCAGGCTAAAGCCAGGAGCCAGGAACTACATCTGCTTTTCCTATATAGGTTCAGGAACCCATGTATCTGAGCCATCATTTGCTTCCAGGTACATTAGCAGGAAGCTGGATCTGTAGCGGAGTTGGGACTCAATCCCAGGCACTCTGATAGGATATGCTAGTCCTGAGTGGTAACAACCCACTGATCTCTAATGCCCTCCACAACTTTTATCTTTCGTAGCAAGAAGTCAATTAGATATTGCCTAAAATTGAAACATTTAGTTAAAAAAGTTACCTGAACCCCATAATAACTTCTTCTGTTAACCGTAGAAAAAAGTATTTTAGGAAATATCTCTAGTAATAAATGTCTGAAAATCAGTACCTTCATCAATTTTACTTCATTTTTATTTTCTCTTATTAACTGTAGATCAAATTCTATTTATTACATTTTACTTTAGAAATTATACATATAGAGATGGACACTTTGGATAGTGGTTAAGATACCACTTGGGATGTCTGTATTCCATATCAGAGTTCTGGGTTCAGTTCCAACTCTGCTTCCAATTCCAGCTTCCTGCTAATGTGCATCTTGGAAGGGAGCTGGTTATGGCTCAAGTAGTTGGGTCCATGCCACCCACATGGAAGATCCTTATTGAATTCCTGGCTCCTGACTTTGCCTTAGAAAGCCCTTGCTGTTACAGGAATTTTTTTTTTTTTTTTTTTTTTTTTTTTTTTTTTTTTTTTTTGACAGGCAGAGTGGACAGTGAGAGAGAGAGACAGAGAGAAAGGTCTTCCTTTTGTCGTTGGTTCACCCTCCAATGGCCGCCACAGCTGGCGCGCTGCGGCCGGCACACCGCACTGATCGAAGGCAGGAGCCAGGTGCTTCTCCTGGTCTCCCATGGGGTGCAGGGCCTAAGCACTTGGGCCATCCTCCACTGCCTTCCCAGGCCACAGCAGAGAGCTGGCCTGGAAGAGGGGCAACTGGGACA